TCCAAAACACACACTTAACACCTAAAAAAAGTAGGTATTCTGTTAAAATTGATGGCTTTGCAAAGTGTTCCATTATCGAAAACGTTTGGAAACCACTGCCGTATGGGGTTTTCTGATCGTTAGTAAAAATTGGCCAAAATCTAGTAAAGTGAAGACAGAAACTTTTCGTTACTATGAACCGAATTGAGCAAGGAGAGTGTATAAAAACAGTTCAAACTGTCGCGCCACTGTATAATGTTTGTTGTTCTATGTCTTTCAGCGTAACTGTAAAATAAAACCGAAATTGAGATAAATCTGGAATAATGTACGGCGATCATTCAAATGGGCATGTCACGCGCGAGCTTTAAAATGGCTTTTACGAAGGGTCAACGAAACTGAAGTAAATAAAACAGGATCAGCCATAAGTTGCACTTTCTACGTAATAATTTGATGGCTCAGCTATTTTGCTTTTATTCGCATTATAAATAGCAACTTCCAGTGTTCAAACTGTTGAAATTGCTGGATTTGTTTCCATACACCATACACATAAGAGACCATTGAAGCCCTAGTTTAAAAGCCTAAAATCAATGCAAACTGGCAAAAGTAAAAATGCTGAGAATCCCTACATTACAAGCGCATAAGACATCTCAACGATTTTTAATTGATTTTTTTATAGCGCCCATATTGAGCGCCTGGGAATTTAAATTAACACACTCATATTTGATATAATGAATGGCCTTTTAACGGATCGTATCTTCGACGGCATCGTAAACTTTATAATTGAGTTTATTGTTATTCAATTGCCCACTTGAAGTCATTTATAATGATTCTTGTGAAATTCCCGTTTCCCTTCCAACGCGAACAATCAATCGCGTTTATAAAAATGCTGTTTAAAAATCCACTTTTAATCGTATAGCAGTAAAGTAGGATCCGAAGCCAATAAAAGTTGATTATTTAGAGCCGTGATAAGACCACTAAATAGAAGATATAAAGCTTTGTTCTTTGAAGATGGGTTCCTTCCTGAAGCAAATTATTTTAAAACTTAAATGTGTAGTTGAAATGGTCAATAATTAAGACATCGTTGCAAAACTAACCAAATTAAGCCCCAGAACGGACAGTCAAACAAAGCGTTTTTCAACGAACCAACCATAAATGAACAATAGAAGGCAGCCACAGACAAACAGTTGTTAGAAGCAAAATACATACGCCTACCACTAATTAGCAAAGAGATTGATGATCGTGACTCGTATTAATAGATTTTTTATTGTTCAGTGTCTATATCAGGAGGTCTATAAAGATGATTATTTGAATGGTAAATTAGGTGGATTTCCGTTATTTCACGGCTTTATGTGAAATGTGCATGTAAAATCTAATTTTAATGGCGTTTCGGGTCTTCGGAAAATTCCAAAGTGTGGATGGACGTAGAAAGCTGGTTGGGGTCGCAGTTTTATCGCCAATAAAATCCTGAAAAATACACCAGGACACGGACTTGCATTGGATTTGTGGCTGTAGTTGGAAAGCGACGAACTTTCAACATCTTTTACGTAAACAATGTATATTCTTGCAATTAATTCTCGACACCAAAGTCGAGAGGATGGTGGCGCCTTTATGTAGATTAATGCAACATCTACATCTATAAAGACCCAAATGTCACAGTTTTTCCTTTTAACAACCCACAACCGAAACGTCGTAATGTAGTAGAGTTTAATATAGCTATTTCAGCTGAGTACCCGTCCATTACGCTGAAGAGAAGCGACCGCTAATGCAACCTATACTTTATGTTCGGGACATAGGAGGATATTTTTAACTCACTATGTATTATTAAAATAAACAGGTAACCACTACTTATTGCTTTCTTAATGGTGGTTTTAGCGGCGAAGTAGCCAGAAGATTTATTGAATGTGCATCGTCTCCTAAGCCAGACTAAACATTGCAGTTCAGATGATGGAGAATCGATCCTGAGGGCCAGGAAAATTTATCTTGGGGGCTTTAACTCGAAATGTTCAGGGTTATTCTTTATTAATTAGTCTTCCAATCCACCATTCACATAACATTCATGTTGCAAAACTGAACATTGCATAATACATTAGCCAATTGTTCTCATCAAACATTCAATTAAAGCCGATGGCGATTAGAACAAAAATAAGCTCGGTTGTGTTTTGTATTATGGAGGCCAGTTTTTGTTTAGCTTTTTCTACCTGAACGGCAAGAGATGCAGGTATATGGGATAGGACGATGTCATGTGTGGTTTTATAGGCTTTTGTTCGAATTAAATAGAAGTGTTCAAAATGGACAAAAGGCTTGAACGGGATTATATAGCACCTATTGTGTCTTGGGTTTTTTTAAATTAAACTCGATTCGTTTTTGCCTTGTTTCTTTGGGGCGTAATTTGATATTAGCGCGGGTATATTTAAACGCCAAAAGAGGTGTAAAGAACAACGGGCTGAATAAATAAGCAGTAAATCATCACAAACATGCAATGGAAATGAACCGGGGCATTTAACAAACTGTTTCAGCGGTGAGCTTTTGTTTTATTCAAAATATTTTACATGTACTTATGTTTGATATGTTCTCTTCGCCATAGTTTCACCTTCCAAAATTAGTCAGTAGACAGTTTATAATAATAGAACAAAAGATCAAAGGGTTTTAATTAATAGGAAAGACTGAAACACCCAATTAAAGAGCCCGATAAAATAAATCATTGATTAAGAAAGGACAGGCCATGTATTTCTGGAAGTGTCTATTTTAGTGGCATAAATTAAAAGAACCTCGCAGGTAGATAAGGTGAATTCAAATTAAACCAGGTCTAGGTTTGAAAATTTCCTAAGAATCTGCTGGTGAACAGTGATTTCCTCGGCAATAAGTCAGCGGCTACTGAAATCTGACTTGAAGAGTAATTTTAAACTGTCGTGATTTCTTTGCGAGTCGGCAGCGTACCGTCAAAAATAAGCTCGTATAACGATGTTCAGTTAGATTATGTGGAGTTTTGACTTTGTCTAAGCCCCAAAATAGGTAATTGCCAACCGAGAACATTGCTTATGTCAGTACAGTTATAAATCAAGCGGCAGATGCCGAGTAAATAAAGCCACAAAGCCATGAAGACGGAAATATGCCTTCCAAAGGCCCCAAATGAGATGCGTATGATTTAGTGGCTACGAGAAATTCTTTCCAAACCCATTGATTCTCACTTGACTATTTTCAATGCCCAACGAAATTTTTGTGGTAGAAAATGTTATTTTTAGACCACCATTCTTAAAGGAAAAGGTATTGCTATTGCTTTTTTAATGAGGATCTGAGACACTGCCTAGAGCGTTAATGTCACTGAACAATTTCATTAAGTATTGGCCTAATTGGAAAAGCTATTTTGGATTTTAGAGGCAATTTCATTGAGTTATCGACTCGCATTTATACACGCCATATCTTTGGCATAAAGCAAACAATATTGGCTTGATTTAGATAGCATGCAAAGTTTACAACACACAAATAGGTACCGTATAAGTTTGCACAATATATCAGCCACTAATAAAACGGAATGTCAGCCATTTGGGTGTAAACCAAGAGCTTTGCGAAATCATAATTGCAACTTATGATGGATAATTATCCTGGGCCCTTAGGGCAACATAAATCTTTTATAACGAGGAAGGTATGCTTCTGAAATCCCACTTATCCCGTTTTAATTCAAAACCCTTTGTATGTGTACATGTTGAAGGAGACTCCCGGTAAAAACACACTTTGCTTAAATAAATGTTGATTATTGTGAATCATGCGACTTTGGTTCCAGGAATAACTGCACGAATGGCATTGATGGGGAAATAACCGATTTATATGAAAGTTTTCAAATATTTAAACAGTGCGATGTTGTGTTATCTAAATGTCTTGTCGAAAAAAACACTCGTAAATTCCTATGGGACTTACATGGATACAGTGTTTCCTGGGTGCATTATAACTAATGATAATAAATGTGTGTGCAAAAAATAAAAAATAAGCTCGGGTTTATAGCGATCCAAATCCCGTTTTGAAAGCAAACTATGCCGGAAAGAGGAAAAGTTCAGTAAAGGTGCCACCCAGCTGGCCAGACTTGAAATCCATTGACAATTTTAAATGTAGAAGCTTGAAGAATTTTAATTTTCCAACTCTAAGTATGTGATTCAAAATGGATTTTTCGCCATCGATATGGTCTAAGTAAAAAAAAAAACAGTTCCTTCAGGTAACTTTTCCTCATAAAATTCCTTCTCTTTAGAGATTCATTGAGTGGCCGGCAAAATATCCGGATTTAACGCTCTTGAGTTTGATCCAAACAGTTTGTGAATAGACCAACTAATATTCACGGCTTAAACAACAGAATGCACTAAGAAAAAAATATTTAAACATGTTCAAAAGTACTAAACGTAAAACAAATTGCGTTCTTTCATAGTTTCAAGCAAACAATTTTGGATTTTCAACCGCGACTTTCAAAGCGAACACTCTTAATTTGCCTCTTTATAAACATACTTGACTCAAAGGCTGAAACTGAAAGAAATTTGGAGCATTTGAGGCAAATAAAAGTCAGCTTTACAAATTTTGAGCAGATATTGTTGTACACGGTTTTATCCCCAAAAACCTGTATTTTTTTCATTTAAAAATAATAACCAGGGCATAAAAGCGCATTTTAAGGAAAAATTCTATTGCTTTTCTCAATAAACCCAGCAGCTTTTCAGCTATTCCAACATCAAACACTAGTAAATATCGTTCGAAAAGCACAACTTGCCTCAAATATAAATGCTTAGAAGTAAACTAGCAGGTTCTTCCTGCCTAGTCAAGCAGTTAAAATCAATGAAACCAGGCTTGAAACAATGATTTTATTGAAGTAAAAGAGAAAACAAAATAAAAAAACAACTTTTGCACGTCCAAACTGTGAACACAACAGGGCCTTTTGCTGGCAGTGGACGGTTTTCTATTAATTTACGATTTCTGTAATGAAGCAGAGCGAAGAAAATCAAGCTATGAGTAGGAAATAAACAATTAAAAAGCCATTTGCTTACCTTGTGTTGGCGGTGTTAATAAAGCAGCTACCGTCAAGATCAGCGCCAATTTACATGGTAAACAACGCACATAATTTGTCCGATTCATTTTTAAAAGCGCACACATCAATTAAAGTTCTATTATTTAACATCCATGGTGGTTTTTCCGCTAATTTCTTAACATTCAGTTAATGTCAATAGAAAATCGTCCAAACAGTCCCTTCCTGTACAAGCGACGCCATTTTACTGAATCAGCTACGTCGGATTTTCCGCCATGAAGTTAGTCAATTATCAGTGGGTAAACAGAGAATAAAGTGGGGGAAATTCCGAAAAATTTGAAAAATTGTATACAGTTTTATAGAAAATTTGCAAAACCTGCGTAATTTGGTTAATTCACATAGTTAAAAAACCGGTTTTTACTTCTATAATTAATTGTTTTGCCCAAAATTGCGCAAAATATACTTAGTTTAATAGAACAGACGCTATCGGCCGAATTAAATAAAAGAAATTATAGTCACACATCTAGCTTTTAAAACTAAAAAAAAACTTACGCAACCATTTAGCTTCAATGACGTCATCTGCTGACGGCCAGCAATTACTGAGACATCTTGGACACTGTGCGAACCTAACCAATAATAAACGTCAATATTTCAGTTTTCTAATGTTTAGTTTCTACTTTAGTGTTTTTCTCTAAGTACCATGATTGCCTAGGTTAGCCCTACACGAGAATAACTAGCTCTAAGTGAAAGAGAGACAGGAAAATGATCAAAGCAATTTTAGTGTTCAACAACCATGGAAAACCCAGACTATCAAAGTTCTATCAGTACTTTGTATGTAGTTAGTTGTGAGCAACTGTGGCAATTCTACTAGTGAAATCTCATTTCCAGGCTGAAGATATGCAGCAGCAGATCATAAAAGAAACCTTCCAGTTGGTCTCCAAACGGGATGACAATGTCTGCAATTTTCTAGAGGGTGGAAGGTACGTTAAGGCCCCCCTACAGGAAAAGTTTGTTTTGTTAAATCTTTCCATTATTTCCAGTTTAATTGGCGGCAGTGACTACAAACTAATCTACAGGCACTACGCTACTCTCTACTTCGTTTTCTGTGTAGATTCCTCCGAAAGTGAGCTGGGAATACTGGATCTAATACAGGTCTTTGTCGAAACACTGGACAAGTGCTTCGAGAACGTATGTGAATTAGACTTAATTTTCCATGTAGATAAAGTTCACTTCATCCTCAATGAGCTAGTTATGGGTGGAATGGTTCTAGAAACCAACATGAATGAAATCCTGACCAGGATTGAAGACCAAAATAAACTGGAAAAACAAGAGGTAAGCAACCGAGATTTGCATCTGCCGCTTCAGGTGCTTGATTTTCGTTGGTTTTTTATTATTATTTGCGATTCCGACAACCTTATCTCATTGGTACAGCTGATGCTTCTGGACGCACAATTTTTCACTTTATAGATATGGAATAGCCACTTTCAAATCGCACAATCTCTCAGCTTTGTTTACGCAGATCATTTTATTTAGTAAGTCGAATTAGAGTATTTTAATTTGTTGTTTGTCCAAGACTATTAATGTACCTGCTTTTTAATGACGAGCTTTTTTGTGTCGTGATGTTCGAAGTGCTGGAGTTTTCGATAGAATCATAGCAGATTTTTGGTTGAGAAAACTGGCATAAATATGTCCCCATTGGGTATGGATGGTGAAGTTTGTCTTTGAGGAAATCATAGATCCAAAATATACAATTAGCGAAAAGAGTCAGAAACCATTGCTTGAAACTGTGGTTTTTGCAGTTGTTTAATTTCGTAATTTAATTAAAGTCAGTGGCGATTTTTTGGCCATTTTTAGTTAAGGACCTGCCGGACGTATTCCGTTGCCATAAATATTGCGCCACTTACTTTAAACACCCTGTGTAACTTTAGAAGCAAATAAACCCTGTTCAAAACCTAAAAACGGCGTAAAATGCCCCATATTATACGAAATTTGAACTGTTCGCAAATGGCTTTTTTAATCAACATGGAGAAGGGCCGGAAATGGGCGCTTTTGTTACAGTTATATAAATTGCCCTGCATTTTTCTCAATTTTCTTTTTTGTTGCTAGGCTGGAATATCGGCGGCACCAGCTCGAGCAGTATCCGCAGTGAAAAACATGAACATTCCGCAACAAATCAAAGACATCAAGCTGCCTGATTTGCCCCAGGCGATCAAGGACCTCAAATTCTGACCACTAATCGGGAACCAGTTTCAGATCATGGATGTATCATCCTCAGATCGTCACTCACCAGATGCTCGGTTCCTTCTAGAAGATCCATCTTCACCACGGTATACATAACATTAAATTAAGGCGAACACATCGAACTAGTAGGGTTCGTTATTTAATCAGATACTATATCTATAAAGTTAATAAATTAAACTGTTTTATATAGCTGGGGGTTTTTTAACCTGCTGATATTTACAAGTTCTCTTCTTTGATGTCCTGCCCCTGCAAGTAAGGTTTTTCGTATTGACGCAAAGCAGTCAGCTAGAATTTTACCTTGTTCCTCTTTCCAAACATCGAATAAAAGGTCACTGAGGTGGTAGTTCGGGTCCCATTTTTTCGATCAAAAACGCTGCACTGATCGTACGGGGGACAGTACAGATGCAGACTGATTGCTGTGTCGTAGCTGGACACATTTGCTACCCTGTGCAACCCCAGGGAGTCTGCAAACCGGCCAAGTTGGAATTATTTTCCCTAATCCCTACGTAACTTACCATTGATATAAGCCAGATCGTTCAAGTCTAGTCTGGTTCTGCCAATTTCCTTCAATTCGGATTTTTCGTCGGGCCAAGCGTATTTTACTTCTTCCAGAGATCCCTGAAGCATTTTCATGAAACAGTGCGAATTGGCGTGATCGTGGATTCCTGATGCGTGCCCTTCACCCCAACAAAGTAACATTAGATTGTATTTTCCATTGCCATCGTCTACTAGATTTCGAGTGTAGCTAAAAAATTCTTTAATCAAATCCAAGTTTAGCACTTTAGCAATTAACGGGCTAATCTGGCCATGTACATTGCGGAATCTTTCCGATAACCATAGGCAATTAAGTAAGTTAAGCAACTACGAAGCAGTAAATTGAAGACTTAACAAACAAATCGCATTTATTCCGGAAAAACGGGCGATTTTTGCTGATGGTTTGCTCAAAATGGATGATGAATGCAGAGTTACATAATACCTATATCGGTCGAATTTGGCAAACTTCTTCCAGTCGCTGGGGTTGGACTTGTAGGTTTCCATCACATATTTCACCAAGTCAATGTTCACATTATCACTTGAAAAAATCGAATTCAGCTCCCGAATCACATCGGTCAAAGAGCGGACCTCAGGCAAACCGTACCCTAACAGCTTCTCTAACTCGATATCACAAAACTCGTCTTTGTTGAAAATGTTTGGCTGATACTGAAACATCGACATATTCGCAACAAGAGCCTCTTGCGTTCACTGCTGGCCAAGGGGTACTATCAATGGCTCAATAGAAGGCCTTTCTTGTTTTTGCTAATAAGTGAGATAAGATTCGGGTCAGAACAGTGTTAGTGATGTCGTTTCCTTCCACTGCTGATTAAATTCAGCAGCAATTATTGTTCTTTATTACATTGGACTGATTTTTGCGTTAATTTGAATTGGCCAGGTGCTTGCCGGACCCGGATATCTTCAGATATGGTATACCAATTTTTTCGTGAAAGTTTTTCGCACTATTTGTGTCAGTTCGGTCAGGCATTTTTGCGTTTCGGGAACGGCTTTGTATCACTTTTCTCTCACCGTGCATGGTTCAATCGCTTTCAAATTTTCTCCGTACTAATACTGCACACATTTCGGGTTTTCACCGCATAAGTTTTTGAACTTTTCCCCAACTAATCAACGGCTGCGTGTTTTGCAACATTATTCCAATTCTTATCTAAAGTTCATTAAAAAATACAAATCCATGCGAGCAATCGCGGATAATTAAGCAACACTGATGCTTTATTTATACCTATTGATATTGTCCATTTAAAAGAACATGTTCGTTTGAAGATTTGTCGTAAACACCGTTTATCTAAACTTGGTTTAACTCGGGTAATGAGGCAGGTGGAGTAAACGTTTATCTGCTAGATTGTTAAATTAATTTGTTGCCGCAAATAAGGCTTTTTTGCCACTAAACTTGAAGAAAATTAGTAAAATGTCCACCCATTCTCACTAAAATGCCTGCAGTCACGCCACTGAGGAGACATCAATTTCGAAAATTGCTTTCAAATGCAAAATTGGGTATGCAAATACGGAAAATCAACGTTTTGTAACTAATCGAATTAGTTCTGGATATAATTGGGGAAAACCGATGCAGCCTAATCAGGCTTATTTCTTGCTCTACTTAATGTTTTAACCAGTTTTGCAATTATCATCATTCAAATCGCCTTCATTTTACTTGGGCTGTGCTGATTGCTCAACAATGATTTCACTTCATTGCGCTTCGCCAGTTGCCCAATAAAACTAAAAAAATCAATGAAAAACACCCACTTTATTGATATCGATGTTCACAATTACAAGAACAATTACACTCAAACTCCCCCTGCGCCATTCTGCGGCCTTTGGGCTTCCCATTCTTCACCCCCTTCAGCCACTCGCCCGACCCAGGATCCATTGTCCAATGAGAGGGCCGCTCCTCCGGAGCGAACTTATCAAGTTCTCTTCTAGGATAAGCTGGAGGCTTGGGACGTTTCGGCTGCTGCTCCGCCCCACTCATCTTCCTGCCAATCCTCATTTGGTCGATTTTCCTGATAATCGGTTCCTCGCTCTCGCTAGTCTCGTCGTAGTTTATTATGGGCTTGTCCAGCGGCTTGTTCTGTTTGCTCCTGTCCTCGAACTCCTGCATGGCCCGTTTCACTCGGTTGCGGTTGCGCGAATGCAAAGTGTCCTGGAGCTCTTGAACCAGCTCCAAATACTCCTCGTTGTTCTGGTAGGGAAGGTCCGAAAGGTTGGGATCCGGATTCGAGTAGGCAAACTGATCATCCTCACGGTACCCGGGTTCGAAGCCGTAGGCAGCTGGTTGAGGTCGAAACGGGTAGGAAGAGGGTTGGGAATAGTCGCCGGCAAAATGCCGCAGGTAGCAGTCGCAGTTCTCCCCACAGCTTCTCCTATAGGCTGGGTAATTGCTGTGGGGAAACGTTCTCCTAGGTGGCTGGGGCCTTGGAGGCGGCGGAGGTAAAAACTCCGGCAGATCAGCATCGGCACTCCTGGGCATGAAACCAGGCACCTCATAGTTCCTATCACTCCTCCTCACTGGGGGCAAACTTGGCAGCAGCAGCCTCTCGTTGTTGCATTTGCAGCAACCGCAGCCTCTCTCCTCTTCTATTTTGCCATAGTCTACACGAACATTTGCGGCATTTCCTTGATGTCTTTGGGCAATTTTGCAAATTGAGCACTTGCAGTTGGTATTGCAAGTGGCGTCACGTTCAGGTACTTCGCTAGAATAATACGCGCTAAACCCTGAGCTCTGATCGAGTGGAGCTGAGGCTTTGGAAGATGCTCTATTATAAGCTGTAGCATTCGAGCTTTGATAAATATCGTTGTCTGACGTTTGCTGGGTTTTATCGCTTGGTAGGATCAATTTCCCACTTCTGTTGCCCCCACTTGGAAGCCACTCATGCAATGGGAAACTATCGCGGGTCTCCACGATCTTATCCTGGCTCTTTGGGGAGCTCATTCTTACAACCGGAGGCTCAGCAGAGGGCTGGTCAGCTTCAGGTTCTTCCTCAGGAATGATGGTGTTATGTAGGGAAATTTGCAGCTTAACTGAGGGCGCAGGTCTAGGAGACTCAAAAGTTGGATGTGTTTGAACCGCTCCTTTACTTGGACGGAGCTTTTGAACTAAACTGATCTCAGTTCTCTCGTCTTTGTACAGCAGGTGATTTTGTTGTGCGCACTTTCTTATAGAGTGCGTTAGCTGCTCTGCTAGCTCAAGCGAATGCTTGGATTCTTCCTTCGTTGCTGTTAAGCTGCTAGTGAAACTTGCTTGTTTTTGCGGCAATTGGTGGGTTTTGGACGCAATAGATTGTTTGTATGGCTCTGTCAAGCTTTTAGTACTGCTTGCTTCTTTTCCTGGCAGTAAGCGGGTTTTGAACTCAATTGACTGCTTAGAGGCTTTTCTTTGGTTTGCTTCTCTTCGAGTCTCCGCGCTTTTAGTCTCCAGTTGATTTTCCAGGCCCTGCTCTTCAGCTGCTTCTGGAAGTTGATTTTCCTCCAACAACCCAGCAAAGGCTTGATTGGAAGCTGCCTCCAAAGTCTGCTGAGTAATTTGGGAACCCCGAGAACTGGTGCTTGAGGCTGCCTTCAAGCTTTCTTCACTATCTCCACCCTCAAAGTCCTGAGGCGGTTCTGGAGGAACTTTGATGGCACCGCTTGAGGCCTTTCCAATGCCTTGAGGGCACGAGGAGCCAAACAGCTCCAGGCAGGTGGACTCGCTTAATCCGCTATCAGATGAGGGCGGAGTCGCGTCTTCCGTTAATCTTCCTGGTTTAGGAAGAATGTAATCGGAACTGTCCTCTCTGCCTGCAAAGGTGGTTGAAGGCGAAGATTGATTGATTTTGGAATTATCAGTTGATTTCATTGAACAGCCTCGTTTTTCAGTTGTCCTCTCTTCTAGGGCATTATGGGGAAAGTAACGCGAAATGAGTTCTTTCGCATTGGCAGGTTTGGGTTTTGGTGGCAGGGAGAGCGTTGAAAAGTCCTTAAGCCTTGTGCGACCTGAAACAACCAGCGAATAACCGGCAAACCACCAAAGCAGTAAACTCACTCTTTGCATCAAAAGATCTGACTCGTTTCTTCACGCGACACTCTCTGCCAATGAGTTTGCAATTGATCAAATGAACGCACTCTCCTCCTCTGATTCGCTTTGGTCCCAATAGCTTCTCTTCTTCGTCGGAAGTGTCGCTGGATCCCTGGCTTCCAAATGGATAAGTTGGAGAATTTGTGTCTATACTTATCGTGTCCCAGTTGCGTCTGTTGTAATTATAGGACTGGATTTGGACTTCGTCGTCCACCTCTCGACGGTGCAGTGGCAAGTAATTCTGCGCTGTTTTTCGCTAAAATTTGATCAAAAACCACACCCTTAACCCCGGTAAACTGCCACATCGAATGTCATGTTGGACAAATTTTCAGCAGGTAAGTTGTACGATACCTTTGGCAGGAGTTTCCGGAACATGTCGATGATGGATGTCTTTCCTTTGCTGCACTGGGGCCTCGAGCCGGGCTCTATTTGCCTGGTCGCTTCATAGTACTGCCGAACTCTTCTAGTCTGAGCCCGGTTGAACTCCAAACTGTCCATGGAACTAGAAGAATCTACTTCTGGATAGTTCTCTTGCTGATGTCTCTTTCTGCGTCTTACAGCTGGAGAAGCATCAGCGTCTGAACTGGGAGAGTGTTGCAAGCTCGATATAAGAGTGGATGATTCAAGGCTCCTAGTGGAGGGAGATGCTCGCGGTGTTTCGCAAATTTCTTCGTATGTTACATAGCCGAATCTGTAGAAGGATTTTTTAGTCACGGGAAGCCGAGGGTTGATATTCTTTGCACCTGCTGCTTAAGATGTGATTGTCCTCACAGCTGCAGACATCATCTCGTTCTTTCAGGAAGGAAAGGTCCAGCCTGGGGACTATATTCTTTAGATCTTCCTCAGTTTCTGAGCCTGCTGTTAAAGTGGATCGGATTTCGATTGCCGGGCATCTGCAGAACTGGCAGTCCGATCGCGTACTGGTTGACATGGTGCTCTTTGGTAGTTCCTCAACATCTTCCAAGTCAGAGCAGATGCATGGAAAATCCTTGAGACGTCGCACTTTTTTATGAAACTCTTTAACTTCCTGAGGAAGACCAATGAATTCCACGTGTCTAGTACTGGAAGAGGCTGAGCATGTGCAGGAGCCTGTGAGTTGGTCTAAATTCCAGTATTTTGAAAATTGAATGTTTTATTTTATACCTGCGTCAGCTGTGGCGGTTACATCCAACTGGACTTGGGCAGTGCTTTTTTTGGGCACTTGCAGCAGATTGTCGATTTCCAGTTCAATCGTTTCAGTTTCTTCAGGTTCAGGATCAGGTTCTGCACGTATGTCCATTCTTACCAAAGCTGCATGCTTCTTCGGGACGTGCACCCGATTATCCAGATCAATGCACAGCAGTTCTTCCTCCTCCAGGAAAGTCTGCATGCTTGCTTCTTCAAGCCCAGCTTGCATTTCCAGGTCTTTCCATACAGTCGGTTTTGGAAGCGGTTGTTTGGAGTCCAGGTCGCTGTCGTACTGGTAGCTGTACGAGTAATCTGAAGAAGAATCTCCTTCTTCTGCTGCTTCAGATTTTACGTCCCCGTCTTTGGTGATGAGAGGTTTTTCGTCATCCTCACTCTCATCTTGAGATTTTGGGGCCCCGCAAGGCACCCAGGGGCAGCGGGGTTTCTTTTTAGGTTTATCTGCAGGCGGCTCATCGCCCGACGAATCCCTTAAAATTGCGGATTATAGGAAACACTTGTTTTCGAACCAAGTTACTTTTCTTCGTCAGCATCGTCAATATCGCCATACTCCAATGGGGAAAGGCATATGGGGCAGATGTTGCTCAAATCAGCGAAGCATTCAACGCAAAAAAGCCCTGGACATTGAGGAGTGGAGCATTTTACAAACTTCTCCTTTTCAGCTTCGTGGAAGACATCTCCGCATAGGAGGCAGGCGAGCTGCAAGTCGCTTCCCAGGCAAATCTTGAAAATTCCACATCTACTAGAGTGTTTCGGCGTGTTTTTCCTCGCTTGTTGACTTACTTCAGCTTCGATCTGAGTAGGTCTTTGCAACTCGTTTCACCAGAACCGCCCTTCATGCCAAACCTTTTGCGAAGCTTCCGCCTGGTTAGAAGCAGAAATGAGGTCCTGGACCTCAACAGGTGGTTGTAGAGCCAGATGGTGCGCTGCTTTGCCCGGAGCGGATGGTAGTAACCCATTATGTAGTTGCGGAACCTTAGCCCATATGGTTCGAGTATTGTGAGAATCCAGCAAATCGCGATGGTGATGCCTGGACGGGAATTTAGGGTGTGCGAAATGAATTTCCACAAGCTTACCAATTTGGACGTATCTATCGAAGTCTGGAGGAATAGGGATTGGTAAGCAAGGCACTGTGTCAATCTCCAGCTTGATCCCAACTGGCTGAAAAGCGTTCACGATTGATCGAAGCAGTTTGGCGATGAATCCTTCTCCAGTGATGTGAGCCACTGGGAGGTTTGGAGCTGGGGAATCATCAATTTTTAAGCAAAGATTGGGGGGAGGAGGATTGAAGTGGTGCCTTGGATTTTGGACTGGTATCTTGCATGGTGGGATATGAGAGTGAGCACCCAGAACAGGATGTAATCAGCTGCCATGTGAGTCCCCAGCTTGACTGAAGCTGTAGCTAGTTTGGTGGCGTTCTTTGAGAGGCTGCGTCTTTCGGTCTTTGCTAATGCGCCCGAGTTAATCTAGACGATTGGGTTTGAGGAAGACCGAAGATGTTTGATGGACCTACCGGCACATAAGTTAGTTTTTCTTTTTTTGTTAGCGGCAGGACGGTTTCTTTGCCTGATTTCGCCCGCCGTTGGTCAATTTCCCGAAAATACTGGTTGATGTAGATGTTGTCGTATCTTTCACTGGTCAGGTACTTGAATCTGTAGTAAGCCACTCTGGACCAGTGAAAAACCAGGTAATTTTTCGCGCTTTGACTTAGGAGGAAAACTTACTGGAACACCAGATACATGAGAAACAGCATGCTGGCGGAAGTCATAAAATTGAAAAAAGCCACAATTCCGCGACTTCGGTCTTTGATTTCCGCAACTATTTCCTTTGCAATGTCTTTGAGACTCTTCGAGGAAATCGTCTTGTATTCGAAAGAGTGCGCGAATTTGATTCGAACGTAGAACATGGTTTTGATGTGGCGCACAAAGATTTTGATTTCTGCAAAGAAAACCATCAGGTTGAACGAGCTTAGGTGATTGGCGCTCACTTCTTATGATCACTCCAACGACGGAATTGCTGATGAAGTCCACGATCATGCAAACATAATCGAAGACTTTCACGATGTAGCAAACGGCCTTAACAATGTAGGCCAGCGAGCAGAGCCAGTTGAAAAGAGGTCCTAACTTGGCGTTGCAATCGGCGATGGCATTTTCGAAAACCCTGGAACATCGCTCAAATGGCGTGCCCAATTCTTTGTTGCAAATGTTGAGGATTTTCCCCAGGAATTCGAACACTGATTTGATTACCCGCACTAAAAGACCAAAGTGTTGGAACTTTTACCTGAATGAAATACTCTGATGTTACCGATAGCCATGACAATCCGTTTGATTTTCAGCAGGATCTCCTTGATTTTTTTCACAACTTCTTTCACCGTTTTGACTACTTTCTTGATTGCTTCCTTAATGGTCATGAACGGCTTCTTAATTACGTCGATGATTTGTTTCACCGCTTGTTTTAATTGTTCCTGAAATTGATGAGTTTTTGCAGCTGGAGCAGTACACTGACTGATTGGGTATCATTATTTGCCCGATTATCTGGGGACTTTGCAGTAATTCAACAGGCATTTTAATTAGGAAACAACATTTTAAAACTGTGCTGGTTCCTATTGCTAGGTAAGTAACAGCAACTAGAAAATCAACTCACTTGGCCGCAAGCTAGAGATTCACTCAAAATTCCCAAATTGTTGAGGGTGTTTTGGGCGGGCCCGGTTAGGGCTAGGACGAAAGCATAGGCTAGCAAAGCCTGTCTGCCTCGTTTGGAAAAAAACTGGGGCAAAGTCAGTAAAACTATACATCTGAAAACCATCAAAAAATGCTCTTGAACTCGCCATTTTACATTTCACATTCATTCTTGCTCAATAACTTTGAATTACTCCCATAACATTCGCCTTCATTGTGGAGAAATTCCGCTGCGGTTAATTAAGAAATTTAATTAGCTGTCTTCTATTCAATTCAACTCTCCCGTGAAAGTTCTGTTTATAGAGTAATTTCTGGGTCATTTTATGTCTGATTTTGATATTTTAAAACTGGCTGTTGTTAACCAACTTACCTCACTTTAGAACTAAAGGCTAATCCTACGGTCAGAACGCAACCGAAAAGTGAACAAATCACCGTCGCACTAGTAAGTCTAATGTTTAACTGAAAAATGAAAATAACGTACAGAAAATACGTGAGGAAAATCCCCCCAACGAAACCCAAGGCGCTTTTGAGGACGAAATTTTCGCAACTGCCTTCATGTCCTAGTTTGTAGCAGGTTTGGTAACCAGGAGAACCTTCAGAGCACTTAAAAGCTCTTCGGAAACCGTTCTTTAGGGCTTCTTTAATGTCGAAGCCGATGTGGCGGAATTTGAACTTTTTCTTGAACGTTTTATCCTCATTTGCCTTGATCGCGTCGAGCTTTTCTTCTTCAAGGGCCTGTTGAAGCTTCTTCAATTTCTGAGCAGAGAAAATTAGGCTCACAAAAGCCATTTTTTTGGCTGCTTCACTTAAGACTTATCTATGTGACATTTGAATAATTCCAGTCAGATTGAGATTTGATCATTCTGGCGTTAATTACTTAATTAGGTGTTCATCTAACGTTCAATAACAGGCAATTTAAGTTAGTTAAATGATGTTTTTTTGGGTAATTACATTTATTTTGTTGCGCTTGCAATCATCGGCGATTTAAGGCCTTTCATCTCCTAAAAAATCCTACTTTTTTTAATTGTGTCCACTTTCCGCATTTAGGTGTAGCGACTTTTTAATCACACTATAATTAAACTGCAATTTTTGGTATAAAAACAGCGCATTCACGTAGGTTTTTAATTAGACGGCGACCACATAATTCCCATAAATGGTTGTCAATTAATTTCCTCAAATCAAATCTTCGTCTCGATGATTTTCCTTTACTCTGGACTGGATTCAGCTATAAAAGCTTGTTAGCTTCGGCTTCCAGCAGGAGGAAACCCTATATAAGAGCATGTTGGCGCAACTTGTTGCTTCTTCTGGATAGCTATTTGGCTTCAGTGATCCACCCGGGTGTGTAGTGTCGTCTTTCATTGGCCGCTGGCTGGACTGTAAGTATTTTATCAATTTTTTTTTGTCTGTTAAATTATTCGTAGTAGTTTAGTTTAGTAAATTGTTTTCACACTCATGGGTTCAGTCGACTTCATCGTATGCTCGAATCTACCAATGCATATTTCATAAAGTTCTTTAGAAGTTAGCAAAGCGCTGGCTATTTGGCTTACATTCTGCGGCTGGTTGATTAGATTAACTTCGCGAACTCGACAATTCACGCAAGTTAATTGGCTTATGATATCAAATTTCTTTTATTTTAATCACTAGTGGTAGAATCTGATTATGTGTAAGCCGATCTAAATTAAGTTAATTTTGCGGTGCTTGGAATGGCTTTATTTCATATACTGGGTGAGTTTTAACCAGGTGCAGAATGTACAGCTAGAGCGCTGTTGATTCAACCGATACTTTTCTGCAAAATTTTGTAAACTACAGAACTGAATTTGCACTTTTTTAGGAGAGATACCATGAACAGTGAGGAGTTTAGAATAAAAGGTAAGATTGAGGAATTTATCTAAGTATTTTAACTACCCGCAGTTGGGCTTTCGCCAGCTTGTTTCTTCTTGATATTCGCCTTTGCTTTGACTGTATTGTTACGACAGTTATGTCCAACAGTTCATACATTCAGATTGAGCATCCCGATCATAAACGTCCGTCAAACTGGAAATGATTGCTCAATTACATGCAAACAGACTTTACACGCAGCGTAATGGGAACATTTTCTCGCTCATACATTTGATGGCTTTTCAATATTGTCTGTCCTAAATCTGTGTTAGTTTGGTCATTTATTGACTCAATTTTGCCAACTTTCATTGTTTCCCAGCCATAAACTGTGGAGAAACCGTCGTCGCGTCTTCTTGTAGCTTTTTGATTGAAAAACGATGTCTTCTGCCAATGTTTGTGGCAACTTGCGCTAAATAAATGATTGCCCATTTGTGCGCTTTATGGGGAAATTCATTTAAATTTTCAGGCAAAGAGCTAATTGACTACATAGCAGACTACCTGGAAAACATTAGAGATCGCCGGGTATTTCCCGATAAAAAGCCTGGATTTATAAGAGGTTCAATTCCTGATGCAGCTCCCATTAAAGGAGAGTCCTGGGAAACGATTTTCCGGGATGTGGAGAAAGTAATTATGCCAGGGGTCACTCATTGGCAAAGTCCACATATGCACGCCTACTTTCCAGCTCTAAACAGCTATCCATCGATGCTGGGAGAGATGCTGAGCAATGCGATTAATTGTCTGGGCTTTACTTGGGTAAATTCAATTTTTTCCAGTTTCTGAGCCAAAATTCAATCGTTTCATTGTGTTGTAGGCTTCAAGTCCTGTTTGCACCGAACTGGAAATGGTGGTAATGAATTGGCTGGGGAAAATGGTCGGTCTTCCTGAAGAGTTCCTTCATAGAAAAGGTGGAGATGGGGGCGGAGTGATTCAGGTATGGTTCCCGTTCTGCATTCAACTACCATTCTATGGGGAAAGTTTCAGACCACTGCCAGCGAATGCACCTTAATAAGCCTATTAGCTGGCCGATTTATAGCGATAAAGATGTTCGAAAGTCTTTACCCCGATGCTTCCAAGCATGAAATCAACGGGAAACTCGTGGCTTATTGCTCAGATCAAGCCCATTCCAGGTAAAATTGTCACTCACGCGGCCACTTTGGAACTGAAAGTATGTTTTAGTGTGGAAAAGGCTGCGCTCATTGGCCTAGTCACTCTGAGGTACATAGAATGTGATGAGGATTTTTCAATGCGAGGTGATAAACTGTTGAAGGCAGTCAAACAGGACAGAGATCAGGGTCTGATCCCGTTTTGGGTGAGCAAGCGAGTTTCCAGCCTGTGGCTGGCCAATTAATTTCCCATTCCCAATCGGACTCGGGAAAACTGCAGCCAATTTATCGGCTACTCCATAAGCTTTATTATCTGATGGAACAAGTCATCCAAACAAATCAGGCGACAGTATTAATTACCAGCAAGGGATTTAAAACCCCCGCAATCCCAAGCAGATTTGACCAATTAGGCGTTGCCAGATAGTAGCACTAATCCCTTCGCGTATAGGTTTGCAGTTTTC